ACTTTTATAGCAGTTTGTTTGACATTGCTGCGCAATCCAAGTACATGATGTAGTAAATTCATTTTTATAGTTTTGTACGAAACTATCACTCTGGCAGAAAATGGAAATTTAAAAATCTCACCATTCCCCATAGAGAGTTTGAGAAACCCTACTCTGGAGAGTGTTTGTGAGGCTCCTGAAGGAGTTCCAGGTGGAGAAGGAGCTGGGTAAGAAACAATGTTGAGGTGGAAGGAGGAAGGGAAGGGCTTACCACCACTCAGGAGCAGACACAGCTGAGCCAGCAAAAGTCCCAAATTTTAACGTCCCTTGTGAAGGGAAGATTAATTTTCCCTTTGGTAGAAAAGAAGTGCTGTCATTTAGTTATGAATTCTGTCTTTTTTCAGCCACATGTGGCAGAAACTAAACTCAAAGTAGATTAAGAAAGAGAAAGAGACAGAATTCATTGCTACTATGACTAGGGAGTGGAGACTCTTGGTGTAAAGCTTGTCCCAGGGATTCTAGGGACTTGGGGTCATTATTCTTGTTTATTCATTCATGCTGTCCCATGCCTTCTCCTACCTTCTCCCCAGTTGTTTCTCTCTCAGGATTGCCCCAGTCTGTTCTACCACAGATAAGATTCTGCCACGTGGCAAGGAGGGTGAGTGGCTTTAGGTAGTGCAAGGCTCCATCATATTACCTTAGCCTCTCTGGAGAGTATTTTCACGCACGTGCATGTGGCCAAGTAGATTGGGTTGAGGTAGGGTGGGACTGGGGTACTATGATCAACAGCTCCAACAGAAACATACAGTTGAGGGCAGGTTCCCCAGAGATAGGGGATGATGGTACAGAAGAATGGAAGAGATGAGCAGAACACGCAAGAGATGTCCACTGCATTATAAAGACGAATCTTTTCAATGTCAGAACTAATTGGTCTGAGAAATAGCAGGAGGTGGAAGAAATAAGAATGAAGACAGAAAAAGAAAAGGGAAGAACTCCCCAGCAGATGCTGGGAGCTCTGATGGGGGCAGCAGAGGAGGGGGCCAGGTACAGAGCAACAGAGAGGAAGCAGTGAGACAAAGCAGTACAGGGCATTGGAAGGGTGGGGAGTCACATATTCATTGTCCTCTGAGGACATGAGCCATGGGACAGCTTTTTAGTTCTGGAAAATACAGATGTCAACCAGTTCGAGCTCAACATCCTCTAATACTTAAAGAGTGCAGCTGCTTGTGGTTCTGTTATGCTTCAGCAGTTATAAATCTTGGGCTGATGAAAACAATTTCTGGTAAATTTTTATTGTTTCTCTGAACCTCCGCTTCAGTATTTCCTTTCAGTGATACAACCGGAAAGTCAGAGTGGGGTTTTTTCCTACATATTGAAATACCTTTGCAAAAGAATGTAAAACGTAGATCCATTATACTCTCCCCCTATGCAACTTTTATACCTGACCTAACATTCAAGATAAAATTTTTAACATTATTTGTGTGCCGAAAGCTGTTCAAAATCAGAGCCTTGGAGAAAACATCCTGTTTGAAGCCTCAAATGGTAGGTTCCGAAGTCCATCTATCCACAAATGCCTGAAGTTAATTAGAAGACTCTCCTTCACGTGCCCTGAACAAGTTAGTGCAAGTGAGGCAGGGCCGGCGTCAGCTGACAGGTGGTGCTCGTGGCTCGTGATGTTAGGCTCTTAGATCAAAAGTAAACCAAGAAAAAGAAGCTACGTTCAGGTTCCGTTAGTGCTACTCAAACCATCACCTGGAAGCTCGAGAGAAATGCAAACTCACGGGCGCCCTCCTCGTAACAGAGAATCTCTGGGCGTGGGGCTCCGCGGCCTGTGTTTACCAAGCGCTCCACGGGATTCCTACGCTCGCTCGGGGCTGAGGGGCGCTGCTGTAACTCCCGCAGCCTGGCCAACTGGAGAAGCCCGACGGAAGTCTAAAGTAGAAGACAGGACTAGAGATACAAGTAAGCCTTCGTATCAGCCACTGAGACACCGAAGCTACGTGGATAGTAAGTGCTGAGAGGAGAGACGCAAAGGGACCCGGAACGTGACTCCGGAGAATTTTTACTCCAGTCCGTCTTCTCCACTAGGCGTTGTGCACAGCTTACAAGAGAGCAAGGGCAAAGACGCGATTTTGATTTGGAGCCTTTTTGTATAAGCAGGTTCCGTCTGCTACTACAGGGAACTTGGACCTCTGAAGGGCCAGAGAAGTAAGTAAGAGAGGATATTATGTTGATAGAATTGTCGAGCATATGCTATTAACATGGCGCATATAATTGTAATACATTCAAGCTACCACTTACCGTACAGCAGATATTCTTTGCAGATGGCTTCCTTTCTAAGAAATACTTCGATTTGAGACCTAGTGTTAAAGGTAAAGGCTGCTTACTGAAATCACCTTGGCAACTTTTTTAAAGAAGAGCTTCTTGAGCCACATCTTGAATTTTTGAAGCATAATCTCTAAGTGTTATGCTTGAAAAGCTACCTAAAAAAAAAATTCTCCAGGTGGTTCAGATGCTCAGCCAGATTTAAAACCTCTAAAAAACTAGAAAATAGTCACGGATATGAACCAATTAGATGTCTTTTTTGTTGTTGTTTTAATTTTAGGCTTGAACAAAGAGATATGCTTCCCCCCCGTCAGGGTTACACCTGTGTTTCAGATTCCTCCTCTCTGTCTCTGCTTGGCATCTCTCCACCTGTTACTTCTCTGCCTGTTGGTTCCAGCCTGGGAACGTAACATTCTCTCAACATTTGAACTTCTCTCACTATATCTTTTTAGTGCTGCCTTATTTCTTGCTTTTGTGTCCCATTTCTTCAAAGAGTCGGGTTTATGTTCTGCCTGCATTTCCTAGGCCCCCAGATTTCAGGGAAGGACTGAAACTGTTGCTCAAAAGTGGCCAAAGACATTAAGTGTGAACTACACTGGTTCTTCATTCCTTATTGTGTCTTTCTTCACTCTAGAGAGCTCTTGGAACTCTCTTCTTGATTTCTGAGACCCCGGTCTTTTTTATCCCCTGCCCACCCTATGTAGGCTCCTTTTCGGTATGTAGTATATAGTATTTGCCTTTCTCTGCCTTATTTCGCATACTGTAATGCCTTCAAGGTCCATCTGTGTCTTTCCAAATGTCAGGATTCCCTTTTTCATGGTTGAATAATATTCACATGTATGTCTCACAACTTCTTTATCCATTCATTTGTCTAAAGGCACTTAGGTTATTTCCATGTCTCAGCTATTGTAAATAATGCTGCAATGTGCAGATATCTTCTTGAGTTAATGTTTTTGTTTTCTTCATATAAATACCCAAAAGTGGGATTGCTAGAACATATGGTAGTGCTATTGCTAGTTTTCTGAGGCCCCTCCATACTGTTTTCCATAGTGCTCTGCCAGTTTGCATTCCCAACAATACAGTGCATGAAGCTTCTCTCTTCTCTGTACCCTCACCAACACTTGTTTGTTATCTTTTTGAGGATAGCCATTCTGACAGGTGTGAGGTGATAGCTCAGCGTGGATTTGATTTGCGTTTCCCTGATGACTAGTGATGTTGAGCACGTTGTCATGCACCTGTTGGCCATTTGTCTTTTAAAGAATATTCAAGTCTCTGGCAATTTTTCAATTAGATTGTTTTTTGGCTATTGAGTTGTATGAGTTCTTTATTTTGTATATTAACTGCTTATCAGATATACAATTAACAAATATTTTCTACCATTCCATAGCTTGGCTTTTCATTAATGGTTTCCTTTGCTGTGAAAAGACTTTTTAGCTTGATAAGTCCCACATGTTTATTTTTGCTTTTGTTGCCTTTGCTTTTAGTGTCAAATCCAAAAAAAAGTCCTTGCTAAGACTAATAGCCAGGAGTTTACCCCCACTATGTTTTTTTCAAGGAGTTTTATTGTTGAAGGTCTTAAATTTAAGTCTTTAATTTCATTTTAAATTTAAGTCTAATCAATTTGAGTTCATTTTTGTATACGGTATAGGACAGGGGGGCCCAGTTTCATTCTTTGCATGTGGCTGTCCAGTTTTCTCATCACCATTTATTAAAGAGACTCTCTTTTCCCCATTGTGTATTCTTGCCACCTTTGACAGTAATTGTGTATATTCATGGGTTTATTTCTGGGCTCTCTAATCTGTTCCATTGATACATGTTTTTATGCCAATAACATACTGTTTTATTATAGATTTGTAATATATATAGTTTGAGATCAGGGAGCATGATTCCCCCAGCTTTATTCTTCATTCTCAAGATTGCTTTGGCTATTCTGGGTCTTTTGTGGTTCCATACATATTTTAGGATTATTCTTTCTATTTCTGAAAAATGCCATTGGAATTTTGATAAGAATTGCATTGAATCTGTAGATTGCTTTGGGTAGTATGGACACATTAATATTCTTCCAATTCATGAGCACAGACTATCTTGCTCTTATTTGTGTCTTCAGTGTCTTTCATCAGTGTCTTATAGATTTCAGTGTAGAGATCTTTTACCTCCTTGGTTAAATATATTCACAGGTTCTTAATTTTTTTTTCATCACAAATTGGGATTGTTCTCTACTGGGGTCTTAGACAATGGTCATCTCTAGGATTCAGTTCAAAAAGTATTAATCTGGTTCATGCCTTGTGTCAGTTCCTATTTTTAATATTTGTTATACAGTAAGTGGGTTAAAGTATCTGCCCTTGTGTGACTTCAGAGTTCAATGGAGGGAAAGCCAGTTGGAGAAATCACTATCTTCACCTTTGGTGGGTGTGATGACGTGTTTTAGATTGAAGAGTCCAAATGAAGGTTCGTCCATGGCTCCTACTACAAACTACAAACACTACGTAGTTTGACTATTCCTATGGTTTTGAGTGCCCCCTCGTGCTGATGACTCCAAATATTTATTATTGAGTCCAGGATTCCTATATCTAGTGGTTAAGAGCATTCTTGAGTTAAACATACCTAGGTTTGAATCCCGGTCCTGCCACTCATTAGATGTGTGACCTCAGATAAGTGACAGAACCTCACCTAAGGCCTAGTCCCCTCCTTGTACAATGGGGAATCATGAAATCAGAGTTGCAGGAAGTGAGATAAACCAGGTAAAGCTCTCAACATCGAACCCGGCATATACCAAGTACTCCAGGTATGTTATTTTACTTTGAATTCTTCATTTTTTTAAATTTATTATTTTTATTTTTCCCCATATTTGACTCTTTAGGGTACCATAAGCTTTCATTTGGAATTCCCAAACTTCAGTTCATCTAATTCAATATAGTAACTGCCCAACTTTCGAACCAGCTCTTTGGTTCACTAAATGCTCAAGGGCTACGAAATTGACACAGAAATTAAAAGTTGGTGTTATTTTGCATGCATGACTTTGGAACCTACCACAGCCTTTGGTAAAACACGTATTAGCTTCCTAGGGCTGCAGTCACAAAGTGCCACAGACTGGGTAGCTTAAAACAACAGAAATCCATCCTGGAAGCCATTAAGTCTAACATTAAGCTGTTGGCACGCCATGCTTTTTCTGAAGTTTCCAGGGGAGAATTCTTCCTTGTTTCTTCCAGCTCCTAGTGGTTGCTAGAAGTCCTTGGTGTTCCTGACTCACAGCAACAGCACTCCAGCCTCTGCCTCCATCTTCACAGGACCTCTTCTCCCTGTCTCTGAATCCAAACTTCCCTTCTACAGATCCCATCACTGGGTTAGGGTCAACCTTAGCTCAGTATGACCTCCTCTTAACTTGATTATATCTGCAAGGATCCTATTTCCAAACAAGACCGTATACATAGGTATTGGGTTTAAAACTGGAACAAACCTTCTTGGGGGGACACAGGCAGCCCAGCGAAATTCACATAGAAAATGTTTACTATGTCTTAGATGAGTACATGATTAGCTTTTGACCTAAAAAACAGAATGATTTTCCAATTCCATTTTGTCTCTTACATGAGACATTGTATTTATGTGTGAAAATAGTCTGATCTTAATTGGTCCCAATATTAGCAAGGTTCAGATTCCTGTTTGTGGTACCTCCTATAAGTTCCCCCTATAGAGGACACCCAAATGCAAAGTCTGTTCTGATCACGATAGACTCTAAGCCCACACTTCAAGCCAGCTAGTTGCTAAACACTGTCTACTACAACTCTGTAGCATTCGTCTCCCATATACTTAGGACCCTTTCACCTATAATCACAGGCTCTGACCCACTCTAGGTTCTAGGAACAGTTTCGGCCTTCAGCAGAAGGAATTTACAGAGCTCTTACCAGTGTTTACTCCGTGTCCTGTCACACTATGTTGATAGCTTGGCCTTACGTACTACCTTGCTTCTGACAACTATTTGTCTTGATTATAAGAACCAATCTAAAAAAAAAAAAATTAGTAATCATGTGAAGTAATGGATGCATTAGTTAACTTGATTGTGGTAATCATTTTACACTGGAAAAAAATTTTAATGTTTAAAAACCGCAATCTCCATTTTTATCCTGCTTCTGGTTTTCTTTACTCATTGCACAGTCCAAGCCCCTGTTTGATAACCTGTGTGGTATTGCTGTTCTTCTACAAGTGGGGACCTGCATTCATGCTATCTCTTGGGTCTGTGGTCTGGTGACTAAAGTAACTTTCCCCTACATGTGGGGATAGCTGAATAGAATCTGTCCCGGAAATCCCTTTGGCCACCATTCTGTCACTGTAGTCCTTTAGATGGAAGTCTCTCAGCTGCAAGAGTTCACCTCAACTTAGTTTGTATCTACAGCATCTACTCCATCAGAGGAGACACATCCCATTCTAGACCCTCGTCCTCTCACAATCTGCCCTGTCCCCCCTCCACTGGAGGGACAGACTCTTATATGAGCAGACTCTTTATGACCAGTTACAGATCTATTTCATGGAGTTAAAAACTATTTCAACATATTTGCAAGTTCAGGGCCTTTATCATTCTTCTGATCTCCCAATATTGCTTCTGTTGATTTTCATTAATGTTTTGTTTGGTGTGTCAGAACTAGATGAACACATTTGCTCTGATGATGATGGAAGGATATTCTGCTCAGATTATTCTTAGTGAATTGGAAGATCATAATATTCTTCATAAAATGAACACTATGGTGGCTGAGCATATTTGTTACTTAGCCAGCCTGCTAATCTGCCAATAAACCAATGTGGGCATCGCTACAGTGCTCCCAGCAGGGAGTAACTAAGTGTGTTGCTCACTGAGTCACATTCTCCTTGCCTCAAATACTGTCTAGAAGTAAACATCTTCGTAAGCCAAAATTAACTCCTTCAGGTTATTAGGCAGCTTAGCAGTGTTTAGCAAACTGTTTTGCTGACTGAAGAAAAAAACCTGTTTGCACTGGTAATATTCAGACTGGCCAGTGATGAACTGGAAGCTCAGTAAAATGTGAAGAAGGACTTAGACTCTAAAGGTTCCTGTTTAGATCCACAGTATATTAATTTTGAAGAAGTAGCTAAAAATCTTGAATATAATCAGAAGCAAAAAAAGAGTTGAGAATGGTGGTTTTTCAGTAAGAAAGTCCTAATCCTTTGTTCTTATTTATATAGCAAACACAGATAATCCATTGAAAAATACTTCAGAGATAACTAAGAATGTTCATGTGAAGCTAAAATTGTTTTGAGGTGGACCCTGGAATTGAGAGCTGGTTTATAAAAGGTTGTATTAGAAAGATTCTGAAATCCCAAGTAGAAATCAGTCTGCCCTTCCCAAATATTTTCTCTTTTCTTGATGGTAAACCTACTTCTCAGGAGAGCAGTTCAGAACGAACAGTGCCTGACACAAAAGAATCAAGACAAAACAACTTCAGCTGCCCCAAAGACTTGTAAATGAATGGTGTTCAGTGTATGTTGTGTCCTTGTTATACTTGGAGTGTGAGTGGTGCTTTTTGCAAAATTGAGTGGTAGGTCCAAACTGACAGATATATTGTAATTTGTACCAAGTAGGTTCATAAGTTAAATAATAAGAACCTTACCTTTTATGCTTCACATCTTTTCCTGAGTAATTCTACTTATAATCATAAAGTTTGCTTTTTCCCCCATTATAAATGAAACCTTGAAATAAAAGAAACCAAAGATCTGGAAAACTGTAAAGAGGGCAAAAGCAAACCCACCCAAAGTCCTAGCATCCAGAAGCAATGTGACCTGCTATTGGTTATTGTTACTTTTTCCCCAAGTCCTTAACATATGCATTTTTTTATTCTATATATACCATTTATATCTGGTTTCACATTTTTACATGACTTTTTTTTTAATTTTATTATGTTAGTCACCATACAATACATCATTGGTTTTTGATGCGGTGATCCATGATCCATTGTTCTCGTATAACACCCAGTGCTCCGTGCAGTACGTGCCCTCCTTAATACCCATCACCGGGCTAACCAAACCCCCCTCCCCCCTCTCCTCTAAAACCCTGTTTGTTTCTCCGAGTCCATAGTCCCTCATGGTTCATCTCTCCCTCCAATCCCCGCCCCACTTTTCCTTCGTTCTCCTAATGTCCTCCATGCTATTCCTTATGTTCCACAAATAAGCGAAACCATATGATAATTGACTTTCTCGGCTTGACTTATTTCACTTAGCATAATCTCCAGTCCTATCCATGTTGATGTAAAAGTTGGGTATTCATCCTTTCTGATGGCTGAGTAATATTCCAGTGTATATATGGACCACATCTTCTTTATCCATCCCTGTTGAAGGGCATCTCGGCTCTTTCCACAGTTTGGCTATTGTGGACATTGCTGCTATGAACATTGGGGTGCATATGGCCCTT